CGCTTGTGTATTTGAAGTAGGGGTGGGCAAAAATACTGAACCGGCATGTTGTCAAACCAGACCGATATGATACTGGATCGAAAAACGAGACTTGAAAGGGATCTAAACAATGTCATGACCTGTTAAGATTTGCACTACTATAGTTTATCACAAGTTTAATAATTATGTAATACGGAGTATGAAAATCGGTAAATTATTATGTGGTTTTTCATAGGATGGCTAAACTTTAACTTCCACTTGAACACTTGGAAAAGTGAGATTGTTTGGTATTAGTATGATATCGTACCGTCCCGTTTGAAAATAGAACCGTACTGAACGGTTTTAGGTCTAAGATCGAACCGAACCGTTTCAATAGTCACGATATGGGTACGAGTTCGGTAAAATACTAGACTGAACCGGACCCCCTAATTTGAAAAAAATACGTAGATGAGAGGATTTAACAAATAATCCCTAAACAAGAGTATTTTAGTCAAAGAAATAGGCATTTGATGAAAATGTTGATGGAAGTGGGAGATTACAACATTAATCGTAGGTGATGGGGTAAATAGTTGACTTTTAAAAATATGAGGTTGAACTAATAATTATGATCAAACTATAAGGGGTAATCATAATTTTCCCAACTAATAATATTATAACGGTCATGTTACTTGCTAAATATCAATGTAAATAAAAGCGTAACTGAAATCAAAGCAATTGTTTGATTAGTTGATGAAATCAAAACAATTGTTTGATTAGTTGATGATATTTATGTTTTCCAAGATCATTGATGGCACTAGTTATGTGATGTCTCAAATAAATTCAAAACTAACACTAATGCGTAGGCTAATGAAGTAGAATTTGTTTATGAAATAGTAACAAAAAGGGGAATTTAATATTGTTTAATTTGAGAATAATTAGATACTAAGATGAACAATTTATATGATTTAAATAAAAGACTTGGCATTGCTATTTTCTATTTGTGAAAATGTTTGTTGATCACAATTATATCTTTAACTTGTCCCCTTTCGAATACTCAATTGTGGGAGTATCACCAATTCATCGAGGGTATTTATATATAACGAGATTGTTCATTATCAATGTACTCATACTATTAGTCAAGTATAGAATGTCACCATATACCACTTGATAGTAGTCTTTGATCTTTTAACTCCTTGATAAAATCAATTGGTATTGATAAGCTCAACAAAACGGTTTCGGTTTAACCAACATAATTAATTCCTCTTAAGATTACTAACCATGAGACTATGCATTAATAACTCGAAGTAACTTACATGTGAAATCATCAATGATTAGCCGTTCGTTCATTGATCGCTTTTAGTAGTAAATAATGGAGAAAAGGGTCAAATAAGGTTTTCTATTATTATGAAATCGTCACATAAGACCATGTACTCAATAAAGTGTCATAGAAATGCGTATACTTGTAAAAAAAACAATCAAACAAGTCCTAACGACCTAATTACAACCTCCTAATCCCGATTTTAGTGTTCATGAAACCATCTTTTTATAATAGATTATACGGCACACGTCGAAAATTTACCTAAGATTGGTTGAAATACAAGTAAAAAAAATTGACACGTAAACTAAAATCAGGATTAAGAGGTTGTCAACGAGTCATTAGGACTCATCCGATTGTTTTTATAAGTAGATGTATTTATATGACACTTTATTGAGTACATGACCTTATGTGATGATTTCATAATAGTAGAAGGCCTTGTTTGACCCTTTTCTCTAATTAATGTCAAAGCGTTAACTAATCATCACTTAGCAACACCCCAAGACTAATATAGAGATAGACTAAGGAAAGAATTAATATTTAAGGAAATAACTTTAAAAAAATAACTCACAACTTTAAGATTTAACACAAGATTAAGTATATGGAAGAAGAAATGTCCAGATGAGAAGGAAAATAGTGTATTCATAGGTGATTGGGGGTTGCAAGATTGATTACCCAATCAGGTATATAGGGCACCCTCACGGGTATGCTACGAAGTAGCCCGGAAGCTTCAGAAATAAGGTTATACTCAACCAATTATGCAAGTATACCCAACAACGTATCAAGGAAATACATAGTTCTCCATGTTCTTGCACGTTAAATTGTTTTGTTGATCTTGTTTGATTTTCGGGTCAAGTCATACCCAACCGATTATTGTCATTACCCGGTCGGGTATGTGATCAAATCAGGACTTTTTTATTAATTCTTTTTTTCCTCACACCTTCCAATCTCTTTGTAAAAGCTTTCTTGCTTGATCTTTTGGTAATGTTGAGTGATGATTGCTCATATTAATCTAAAGTTGATAATTAACTTAAACTAGAAAAATAAATGATTGCATCGTAAATGGGCAATTAGTACAACAATACATAGTAAAAACTAATTAAAAGTAACAACATATATACATAGTGGAAAATACAGATTATCAATCATCTAGGTCCCAAACTACAAGAACAAAAACAAAACCAACGTGCTTTCACATATCATCTTCTCACCCAACTTGCTCAATAGTTGCACCAAATACTACATAGCACAAGTCAGAACGAACAAGTTTGTTAATTAGTTACCCATAAAATTACAGATATGGTAGTATCCATGACCTTCAATTCATTGTGAAAAGAACAATCTCTTTTAAAGCTTATGTCAAAACCTCTTCATTGTTAATTGAATTGGGTACTAATGGGAAGTCTTTTAGAAGTTAGGAACGGTAGAAGACCAAAAGATGAGAGGATGTAATAAGAATTGAACTAAAGTAAAGAACCATACCTTCTTCTTGTAGTGTTAGAAGTATTTATCCAATGTTTGTAAGACAATAACTAGCTAGAAAAATGAGAGAATTAAATATTATCAAATGTCTAAAGTACCCCTAAAATTTACCTACTCTTGTCTCTTGTTCTACGCATCGGTTTAGCGAGAACTCATTAGAGTGCCCACCTAATCTTCTAAAAACATGGATCTGAAGAGAACTTTCAACAGCCATCGGTCTATAATACCCCAACCACCTCCATCGCAGTCACACCTACTTGTGCAATGTGCAATGGACGATTGCTAACAAATATGTCTCTTTGGCTATGGCAAGGGACAACATATCCTGGAAAAGAAATCCTGACGATGAGACTCTGAAAATGATGGTGAGACCGACGACAATGACATATCCTGTTTCATCGATGATGGTTTTCTTCCTATATCTTCTTCTCCTCCGATTCCAAATCATCTTCTTTACGATCGACTAGGCGAAGAGCATGGTGTTATTGTCACTCTCACTTCTAGAATTTACGAGCACTACCAGTAGAAGAGTCTCTATAACTGCCGAGGTTGTCACTGATGGCAATGGTCACTATTCGGCAGCGGTGATCACTCTCCGATAGTTGGTTAATGGGGTCATTTCTTCATGATCATTGGGTGGTAGTCACTATAATTTAAAGAGTATAAAAGTCACCATAATCTCTTTTGAGAAACTTTTGATTAGTCAGACCTGCTTGAGACCTTAAATATATAAATCGATGAGCTAGATAGGCTTAATACTTGATCTGGTATGCCATTTAACTGCATTTACTTGCATTGTAAAATCTATTGTTGGGATATATTATCCCTGACACTGCTGTTTAGGAGCTCAACATACTACCCGCACGTGAATCCTACATTGTGAAGCCCATGAGGCTCGTTGGGCCCGTTTTGGACCATTTGGATAGATTATGCCCGTTGGGCCCATTTCAGATCCCCGTTCTCTACAAATAAGAGGCTCTCCCTCTTACTTGAGGGGGGCTTCTTTTCTACTTTCATCCTTCTTCTATCTAGATAGCTTATGACTTCATTAATGGTGAGGAAAACCTAATGAGAATGAGGGTGGCTTGAACATCAGTCCAAAAAGTGTCGTGGTTTTTTACCTTTTCAGGTTTGCATGTCAAAATAGGTTGTGGATACGTTTATTTCTACATTTTATACATTTATTACTGTTTCGTGTTGGATTTATCTCAACATCTATACTAATTGATGTTATTTAAAATGTTCTTTAGATAACATTAATTAATTACATAGTATATATCTGTAGCTTAAGTAGGAATCATCAATCGATCCATTAGTCTGTATTAATGACCTAAGACATGCCCATTGTTCTAAAACTCGCTAGGCTCTAGTCGGGCGATTGAGGAGCGCCTAGGTGGCCGCCTAGGACGACCTTTGGCTGACTAGGTCGATTAGTGCTCTATAGTTAGGGCTGACTAGGCCAACTAGATCGATTAATCGATCCGACTAGTCCGGTATTTAGAACAGTTGGTATAGACCTGAGTATGTGCTCCAAGTTCTACATAAGAGTCGTCTAGAGGGGGGACAAAGTGCCTTCAATTGATGTTGTGCAGGAAACCTCGACTATATATGGGGAGAGGCTCTCGTCCATGCATGGGCGGGTGACAAACTAGGCGTGGATATGCTTTCTTTCTAATGTTGTCAAAGAGGTTGTAGGCTACTATTGGAGGTGCACCTCCTCTGAATACAAGTTACAACCGAGGTATAGGCTTTGACCGGAGAAGTTTCCAAGGTTGTCAATGAGGTGTCATTGGGAGAGCCCCTCGTCCATTGGTGAGCTTAAAGTTCTCAAATTTTAAGAATGACATGAAAACAATAATATATCCCAAAGTCAAATTGTATGCATGAAATGAAGATTGAAATAATATGGAATTTACCGCATCAATGTTGAAAAAGACCAACATTTACGAATATATATACGATTGATTGCCATAAGAGGCATAATTGCAAATGTATGTTGTTAATAATCACACATGACAAGACATAGAACTCTAAACCTATGCGTTGTACACTTTTTTCTCTTAATGTTACAGGAGTCTTAATCCATCCACAACGGGGAACAATAGAAATATATTGTAGTCAACATATTATAGAAGCATGATGGAAAATATACACATATAATATATCTGAAGCTAAATTGGAAGGGCGGAGTGCATGCGAGGGGACCATACTACACATGAAATGAATCAATTGCCATAATGGTACTCAAGTTCATCGGTATCATGTATTTATCTGTGCCTGTCAAAATACCCCTCACAATGATCGCATTTGCCTTCTCTGATGGATGAAAGGCATCCCAAAATGCATAAGCATCTCTATCTGAGCACAAATTCGAAGCAGGTGTACAAAGTCCAATCCCATTAAATGGCCCTTGTCCACAACATGCTATCTTTGACGTCGTAAAACCTAGATCCATCAAAACCATCATTAGAATAAAAGAATAAGTATTTGATTATTTGGACTAAAGTTTACTAACTAGTTTGATTAGAATGTTTCCAAAGTATATGTTTCCTTTAGTCATATGGTTTGAACTTGTTTGTTTACGTGAGGTTTGGACTTTTATGATTTGGTGATTGTTTAACATGCACTTTCTTTTATCATCATAGTCTTGTTTAATTTTGTTTGACCGTAGTTCTGATCTCAATACATTTTTATTTTCTTTGTTTAATCTGATTTAATCAATTTTTTTGAATTTGATGTTTGATGGGTGAGTTAACTCAAATAGTCAATGCCACAGTATCCAAAACATAATTATGTTGGTATATTATACTTCCTTAAAACCAATTGAAGTTTTGACCTCCTTAAAACCAATTGAAGTTCTAACTTCTCGGATGAAATGTTACAACTACACTAACTTTTTACTTATTTTTTATCAAGTTGACCCTGAGAATATACATACCATAAGCCTGAGGATTGTGGATGAAATCGTTCTGCATCTGGACAGCATTGACCGCGACAAAGACGGTGGAGCCGAGTTCTTGATTGATACTTTGAATCATTTCGATGAGAAGGGGATTAAAAATGGCAGCGGATTCTTGGAGTTCATCTGAACATTCACCGTTCCGCCCTCTCTGGGCTAGCTCTGCTGGAACACAACCCAACGGACCTGTACCTGTCACCAACGCCCTTCTTGCTCCCAAATCGTATAGCCTCTGATCATATGATGAGAATCAAACAAGTTATTTTAAATTGACCCCATTACTAAAGACGTAAAGTTTTGACAATAATGTTGGCTAATGATCTAATTCTTTTGGAAATGTAAATAGTAGTTCCCTCAGAGTAATATACTTGGACGTTATTTACACATTAGCCTATATATTGAACTGATTCGTAATTTCCTATACTTATATTTCACCAAACCACCAAAATTACATGAGGTTGACTGGAGTAATTGAACATGTAGGGTCTGAATTACTACTTTAATTCTTCCACCAACTTGATCACCCTTATGAGTTATGAGCTTATAAGAAAGCGTACCAATAAGATTTTTCGGTATTCGGAGATGAGGTAACGACAATAGTTTGGAATAGTGAACTGGAGTCTTCGGGCGCTAACGGGGACCAAGAAGTAGTTGTTGACGAAGTCATTACCACCAAGAGTGATGAGGACAAGTGCCTTGTTTACGCGGCTTTGTGCCTGTTCCGCCCCTATCAAGTTGCTCAATCGTTGTTGATATTGCTCAAAATATTGGATTTGTTGTGCTATCCTTATTATGTTTACCTGCCAATCAAACAGGTACGTATGTATGTTAACTATATAAGGAGTACGGAGTACGAAGTATTATTTAACTCGCAAAAGAATAAACTTAAAATTGTCTTTAATTTGTCACAAGTTGAAATGTTTGCTAAGGTCAATCGGGTAAATAGTGAGCAAGATGACATCTGAGAATACAGAGTATTTGTAAATGAATAACAACTAATTGAATATTTTCTAAATGAATAAACACAATTTAGAGACTCAAAACACAAAATGAAACACATGGTTCAGAAAAACATGCATACGCCTAAGGATATGAATCATCTAATCGTTGGGATCGGATAAGAATGTACAAGGAATTTATGTTTCATTATTTGATAGGCAGATATAAATTTTTTGAAATATCAGACCGAAAAATTGTGAGGTAATAAAGTGTTGTATTAAGATCTGAGATACTTCTCCTATAGGTTGGCTTTTTAGGTTGGAATATCATATCTTAACAAAATATTTATAGGTACTTATTAAAAAATTGAATTTCATTTGGGTCTCAATGATATGAAAATACATTGTATAAGGATATTTCTAATGCTATGTGATCTACCCTCACTCACTGGTGAAAACTCCGGTACTCATTTAAAAAATGTGGTACCGTACCCATCATTCACTTGATTGGTCCACATAAGTATATCAATTTTAATTTAGATTTAAATAATTCAACTGCAACATTCTGATTGGTCCATGTGGACAAAGGTACGGTACCTTTTGGGTACCATAGAATCTACCTCACTCAAATTGAGTACAATTTAAAACTATTCGCCATTTGTGCAATAATCAGGAGTTGACATGGTCAATTCATTTAATACGGAGTATATGATCACGTTTTCATGAATGGTTAAAATTTGTACGGGTGAACAAAAAAAACCGAAAAAACCGAAACCGACCGCCAAACCGACCGAAACCGACCGACAAAAATCGAAACCGACCAAAACCGAAACTGACCAAAACCGAACCGATAAAACCGAAACCAACCGAAAGTGACTAATTTATCGGTTATTCGGTTTACGGTTCATAAATTTGACTTAAAAACCGGTCAAATGAAAATAATTTGGCAAAAATGGCTAAAATCGATAGAAAACGATACAAATTGACCAAAATTGACTCAATTTTTGCGGTCCAATTCTCGCTAAAACCGCCCGACTAAAAACCGAAACCGATCAAAACCGACCGACTAAAAACCGAAACCGACTAAAACCGAAACCGCCAAAACCAAACCGACGGACACCCCCTAAAAATTTGAGTGCTCCCTAGCCTTTTACTCTCACTTAAAATTACGAGTCCTTCCAATTTCATTTAAAAAGAATAAGAGCTTGAAAATAAAACAATTTTATTTACTTACAAACTGAATGCCGGTGTCGTTGAGAATTCCGATACCAGCAGAAGCAAAATTTGCACCAACCAATAACTTTTCGCCAGTTAGTGCGGGGTCCAAGTAAGCCAAAGTCGGCTCCGAACCTATAGCTTCGCCTGTATATATTAAAGTCAAAATATAATACGAGAAAAAGATGAACGAATGTTTAAATTGAACAAGATTTTGGTCTTTTAAGCGTAACTTTATTTTCTAGATATATATTTTTACGTGTATTTTACATTGTCCGAGTCTTACCCGATCTTGTTTGATATTCCCTCCGTCCCAATTTGATTTGCAAAATTTCCTATTGTGGTTGTCCCAAAATGATTTTCCACTTTTTATTTTAGGTATGTAAATAAAAATAAAGTGGCAAATTTACCTTACTTTTACTTTTTTACATTAACATAAAGATATCTACTTTTAAGATCGGAAGATGGACAAAAGTGTAAAAAACAAGCATCATTTACTGTCATTCTTTAATCCTTGTGTCAGTCAAAGTTTCCAATTCAATTCGGGACGAAAGGAGTATATGTTTAAGCTTGGTCTAGTTCTATAAAAAGGATACAACTATAAAAGTTTCCCTCTATATACTTGTAACTTACAAGATCGAACTTGAATTTTGCCAATACTTGAGATGATCAACATATTAACAATTGATATACTTCGCATTACATTGAATAGGCAAAATAAAAATTCATATGATTTTTTGCAAGAGACGTAATTTATACAGTAATATTTTTTAAAAAATAACATATACTGCGTATATACATATATTATTGAGACACATTTTGGTAACATTTGTTTGTGCTTATGGGTCTTATCAACAAACTTTTTCTATAAAACATTCAAGTTTTGATTTCACGTCCTGGCTTGCGTAATAATCAAAATATACTTCGTATAAGATTAGAATTATTTTTTTTAGTTAAATTAGTTGAAATTATTGTAGATGAACAGTTAAGCTATTTTCGCGGTATACTTTTTCTTAATTTTATCAATGTAATACTCCCTCCGTTCCAGAAAATTCTACCAACTTTCCTTTTTGGGACGTCCCAGAAAATTCTTCCAACTTCACCTTTTTGATTATTTGTGTGGCTCACATTCATTTCACCTTTTTCTTACACAACTACAACCACACATTTTCACTTTATTCCCACTTTCTTAAACTCCGATCCAAGTCAAACTAGAAAGAATTTTTTGGGACGGAAGGAGGGAGTATATTATACGGAGAAATATAATTCATTCACAATTCAGCACACTTTGCCTACTCAGGATGTTTTCTTTTGGACTGAAATTTGCTGGTCTGGTCTGGTCTGTTTAAGTCTGGTCTGGTCTGGTCTGGTCTGGTCTGTTTAAGTCTGGTCTGGTCTGGTCTGGTCTGAACTGGTCTGGTCTGGTCTGGTAAACGTCTGGTCTCTGTGTATTTTATAACTACGGAAGTCTGGTCTGGTCTGGTCTGGTCTGTTTAAGTCTGGTCTGGTCTGGTCTGGTCTGTTTAAGTCTGGTCTGGTCTGGTCTGGTCTGTTTAAGTCTGGTCTGGTCTGGTCTGGTCTGTTTAAGTCTGGTCTGGTCTGGTCTGGGACTGAAAACAGTCCAAAAGAAAACATCCTCAGTCAGTACAACATTTTAGCATACTTTGCCAATTCCACCACCTCAACTAAAGATTTCATCAACTTTACAAAATTTAACTGATTTCATTATTACCAAACAAGAATATAGTCGAGGTAGCCTATAGTATCTTAATAGTGTAAGGGGGTGTTTGGATCTGATTCTTAAAACTGTTTCTGCTCCTTCAGGGAGCAGAAGCAGAAGCTAGAATGTTTGGGTGAAAGTGCAAAAGTGATTCTGGTCCTCTAATTTACTCATAAAATCAGTTTTTTTAGAAGGTGATGGTGATCGATTTCTGAAAACTGATTCTGATTCTATTTCTGCTTTAAAAAAGAAGGAGAAGTACTCCGTAGAATGAGTTCCACATCCCTAAAGAATAAAAGGTTCCAACTTCCGGCGGTTACATGGTGAGCGTTGAGGAACTCTAAGTCAAGTACAATATCTACTAGAATGCTCATTGGTCCAATTTATTTTCTACGTGGCACATTATCGTATCTTGGCGGTACGGTAAGAATATAATTAGACTTAGGGAGTCTTTGCGATTGCTTCAACTTTAAAAAAGTGATTTTTAAAAGTGATTTTGGAAAAAATGATTAATAGTAAAAGTTGGTAGTGTTTGAGAAAAAATGATTCTGAAAAAGTAAAAGTTAGTAGTGTTTGGTAAAATAAGTACTTTTTGTGTAATAGAAAAAGTGAGAAGCAGTTTAAAGCACCCTTCTACCTGCTTCAAGCTTTTAGCTTTTAAGTGATTAATTTAAGTAGAAGCTATCATTTGAAAACACTCTTTTCAACTTTTTTTAAGCCAAAAGCTGAAAAGCGCTTTTTTTAATCAACCTCAAACACTCCTTTATTATGGCTTGAAAGTAGGGTTGCACATCGGGCGAGTTGGGTCGGGTTTGCTGTATTTTTCGGGCCTACCCGATTTGTTCGGGTTGGTTATTAACCAACCCGCGGTACCCAAAATTAGTTGGTAAACCATGCATGAACGGGTCGGGTAGGGTCGGGTATTGGGGTAAAAAATTACTTCGGGTTGCGTCTTTCATTTGGGAAATTAATGTAACCAATGTAAAACTCGATTAACTTGTTTCCAAGACATACAAACAATTACAAGTACTCGTATCTTTTGTAAGCAAAAACATTAGGCAATAGTATTAAAACATCCTTCCGTAAAGGAAGTTCATTTAGAAGGAACGTAAATATATAATAATCACCGAGTTAAAATGATAAATGTTTAATTATAATTCTAATATCATAAAGTCCTAGATAGAGCACATTGATCTTAAATTGAAATTATCCAAGAAAACGTTTTAGCATAATAATAGTAATATGAACTTCGGCCGGGTCGGGTACTATCGGGTTTAAGATTTTAATTCCGCAACCCTACCCATGAATATTTTTAAAAATCAAATACCCGATTAAATAGGGTCGGGTAAGGTTGGATCGGGCGGGTTATGCGGGTTCGGGTTATTTTTGTGCCGCCCTACTTGAAAGTACTTACTGATAAAATCAGGGATATTGCGGCCGTTGGAAAAGCGGCCGGTGGGACGGTGAGTGGGATAGTCAATGCCGTACGGCGGAGAGTCAGCCCTGGCGGAGGTCGCCAGGTAGTTGTTGTTCCCATTGTCCACCAGCGAGTCGCCAAACACAAAGAAGGCCCGAGCAGCCTCCGCCCCCGGCGCAGATACGGCGGCGGCCACCACCGCAGCAATGAGAATGGCGGCTAATGAGGAGCCGGTCAGCCGGACGTCGCCGTGGCGGTTACTTTTTCCAAACATTGTGTATAGCTAGGTTAGTTTGACTGATCGATATGAGAGGAAAAGAATTGACGGAGGGATTTATATAGATCGAGTACATATTTGGGGGAATTGAAGAATTAAATGGGCGGCTTGCACCGCCACTTCTCGCTACATTTCAACTAGTTGTGCGTAAGTTCATAATTATCGATGATGTACACTCCTTGATTTGCCTTTCAACTGCATTTACCAGCTGCATTCTTAAATCCTTGCTAATTGAATTGCTACCTCTTAATTAGAACGTTCTTTACATATATTTTCGTTAAGTATGCAGACTTATGTAGGATCAATCGATGCATTTGTCATTAATTTGTTTAGGAAATTTTAGTCCCATTACTTTAATCTATTTTGATTATTAGCCTGTAACGTTATTCGCTCGCGAGTTTGATCCTGTAACTAATACGAAGTGTATGTTTGCGATTTAAGAGATTTGCACGTAAAAGTACACTTTCTGGCAAAAAAAATATTGGAAAAGATGTTGCTCGCATGGGATTTTTGTGTCAAAAGTATACTTGTGTGGGGATCAACTACATTTAGATCAGACCAAGAGAACAGCTTCTAAATCACAACGATTTATTATTTATAAGACAACTTGCAAGCTAAGTGATTAAAGTTACGAGACTAAAAATGAAAACAGTCAAAAGTTATAAGACTCAAATTGCAAATTACGCCATTATGGTACGTCCTAACGTGCGTAACTAAGTTTAATATTGACTATGAAAGTTAAAGATGAATATTATTAACAGAGGAAGGAGTATATATATATATATATATCAATGTGTGTGCGATTAAGATAAATCAGATGTTAATTAAAGATCTTACTTTGTCATTTCATTTTATCATTACGTATTTTAGATTTTAGTAGAAATAATCATAACGATTCAGATATTCTTTTGGGAGGAAAATCAGGAAATTGCTCATTCTAATACTAACATAGTCATCTTCCAAAAATAAGATCACATGTTTTGTTTTCCTTAAACACGACTAAATATTACATATGCACATTTAGTATAATTAATAAACAATATAATTAATGGTTTCCCTAATTCTTTTGTACTCCCTCCGTCCCGAAAACAACTTCCCGGTTGGACTTTCACACACTTTTAGGAAATAAATTTGACTTTACTGTAGAATGCACTGTTTTGCACTGTTTAAACACTGTTTGGCACTGTTTAAACATTGTTTGACACTGTTTATCACTTTTTTTATGTAGATAATTTGCCAAATAACGAAAGTATTGAAGTGTGAAGTTAATTTTGGTACATCCATTTAAGAAAAGTGGGAAGTTGTTTTCGGGACGGAGGGAGTATAACTAAAGTCAGTTCATGGGTGGTCGCAACAGTGCAACAATGCTATATGTATTTTTGGTGAATCACAAATAATATGTCATATTTATGAGATTTTAAATATTACTCGGAGTATAAGAGAATAATTTTTTTTATGTTATGATATTTCCCAAGAGTGCATTTCCCAGTGTCACGGTATTGCTGACCATGCCCACATGGGACCTATCAAAAGCTTGGCGCGGCCAGCTGAAGACCACGACGATGTTTGTGAAAAGTTTATTTATTACGTAATTATTACGTGTCTTCACTCCTTACGTACATAACAACAATTCACTATAATGTATCATGTTAGGTCTTCAATCGTGATTGGTGAGAAACAAAAGCATTATGCGTATATAGACATTACAAATTTACAATCACCAAATCTAAAAACCTGAACTCTCCACGAGCAGAAAAATACAATTTGGTTGTCAAAATTTGAGGTTCAAAAGAATGTTTACTACCTACGGTCCCTATTAGAGTTCTCATTTTCTTTTTCGAGATTTCCCTTATTTAAGTTCACACTTCCATTTTAGTAAACAAATCTACACCAAACCGTGCACAACAATGCAAAACAGTGCCTAAAAGTGTTAAACAGTGTCCAAACAATGCACTCCATAATAAAGTCAAATTTATTTTTTTAATTTGTGTGAAGTCAAAGTGTGGGAGGAAGTATTAAATTTGGGCAATCATGATATATGGTGCTTAATTAGGACAAAAGTACCAGGCCACGATTGGATACCACTTCAGATGGAACCCGCAACGTTAATATCTACCTAATGGAATGAAGTAGAAAAGTTAAATCTAACAAAACACTCCTTGAACCGTCAAAAAAAAAAAAACCACTCCTTGGTTGAAGTATTTGTTCCATACCGACTCATATATATAAATAAACTGACTACATAACATTTTGAAACTATAAAGTCTACATTAGTAGATTCATTGTGGTATTAGAATACGGATTTGGATCATCTATCGCACGGCAGAGGTATCTTGCGTAATCCAACGACAACATCAACAGAAAGATGAGAGAGATCTTGGCTGGCAAAATTGGATCATGTGGCCGTATTAGCCAAACACCTTACCTGGCTGCCAAAGCGAGGTGGAGAATATAATCTAGATCCTAGAGTTAAAATTGATCTTATACATTTCATTTGTCACATTTAAGTACACATAAAAAAGATAGTTCAAAGTTGATGTTTGGCCATTACTCCGTATTATTATCTAAGAAACGGAGTTGAGGATGACTGATGATCATTAGCGTGTTATAAAATTATAATTATATATACACCCCCCAAGAGAAGTAAATATGATATAGTAACTTAGTAACTTCGATCACTATTTTACTTGGTTAGCAATCCTTAGCATTCTTAATAATATTACCAAAAGTAAACTTTTGTTGTTCGGATATACATATCTAATTTAAGAACGCGAGGGAGTTTTTTGTGCACGATGCCGACGAAATAACCCCATTTTGGTTTTGGAGGTAGTGAAGCTAGCAGTTATTTACTCGCTATTAATGAAATTCTTGTTTTTGCGGCCATTTAATTCCCATGTGCTTAACTTTGTTGTAACCAACATTTTTGGAAGGGGACGGTGGGAGATATTGTACAAACAACCTTAGATAGAATGGAATAATACTTCATAACTATTGTACCTATGTTGCTCTTGAATTGAAGCAATATATTATATATGGACAGCTTTTATACAATATATTATCCTCGGTTTCTTTTGAATACGTTTTATTTATTAATGTATGAGAATTACGAATTTTCATTATCCGATTTTTAATTTTTGTTTTAAATAAAGAATTAAATATAAGGACAATCAAAGTTGTGTGTTGACAAGCGTGAAAATGAAAATGTCGCAACTAAAAAAGAATTGATGAAGTATATATGTGTAATTAAACAATATTCAAGTCCAATATTGTCTGATATTATTGTTTAAAACTATTCTGATCTTATATGGTTTATGTTAGTAATATCTATTATAGTGTTGTATGATTTGTTTTAGTCAACTCTAGTCTGATTTAGTTAATATGGTCTTTTCATTAAAAAATTGAAGTAATTATAATCAGTTTCTTTTAGAGATAATAGCCCTAAATAGGACTAAACTAATCCCTAAATGCATAAATAAATAAGACAATGTTATTTATCTTTCTCAAATAGGACAAAAGTATACACTATCTTCCGATTCTACCCTTACCATAACTTAATAGGATAATTATTTTTTAATTTGTAATAAATACAAAAAAATTAACTTATACAAAAAATCATATAAATAAATAAAAATCTAAAATACTTTTTAAAAATAAGAAAAAATAATAAAAACAAAAAAATACTTTTTAAAAAAAATACTTTAAAATAAATAAAAAATAGATAAAACACCTTATAAAATATAAAAATATGGACTCCTTTCCCACAGTCCCGGCCACTGCCCAACAGATAATGTTACCTCTGATAGGAGAAAAAATGTCATTTTGAGTAAAAACTGTCATCTTTGTTTGAAAATGCCATAAAGATGACATTTTTATTCGTGAAAATATCAAATTTTTCTCGAAAACTGCCATCAAGATTGCATTTCTGACACATGTTGGCATTTTGTTTCCGGTGATAGGAGCTGGTGATGCCCAGAGGATGACAATTATGATCGATCTTGTGGATATCCGGACCAAACCACTTTGATCAAAATAGGGAAAATCACATTGATTGGGTAATTAGTGCGGGGCAGAGAATACCCATTTTTTACGGGTAATGGGGCGTTTATGGTTTTCTACATGCCCGCCCCATTACCCTCCCCGTTTACTATTAGTTATATTTTTATTGCAATGTTCCTATTATTTGTCCCACAATCAATAAAAGATGAGATTTTTCTCTTTTCACTGTATATGTATGAATAATGGATATACTAACTATACCGTGTGAATGACAGATTATAAGAGATTTTAGTAGTTTTGTTTGATTATTACTGGATTTGTTTCATGATTAATTATTTTTCAATTTAAGTATTTTAGGTTCAAATTAGTTTAGGTTGTGTTGTTTCTAGTGTTGTAGATATACGAAACTTTTAAGTGGCCTCTGACATCTAGAGTCATCTAGGCGATGCTAATTTTTCATTTTAAAATATTAATTTTATATTATATTAAAATATCAATGACTCATTTAATAAAGGCGTTACCCATGGTTATACCCGTTAGACTTGGAGCAGTTTTGTTTGAATAAAAATTACTCGGCCACTAGGTAATGGGAAGGTTACAAGGCGGGAATGTTACCCAATGCGGCAGGTACCATTATATGTATAATCATTCCCAATATGCCCCATTGTCATCTCTAGTGGTGCCGGGAGCTATATATATAAGATTTAGCCCCTTTTGCTACAAAGTAATTTTGTCAGGAAAGGTTTGATTTTGTAGGGAAAAAGTTTTAGAGACAAAAAATATTTGTGGGGTGATTTGTAGGGCAAAGAGTGTGGGGAAAGAGTTCTTAACACAAAGTTTATGTCTTTGTAGGCTAAAACCTAGCCCTACATATCCTTTACATACAAATTACTTTTATTGAGACAATGCATTCCACACAAGTTCTAATTTGTAGCCATAAATATTTTAACGCAAATCACTATTTGTATACATTTGTATGTAGAAGAATTGTTTAGCCACTACACTAATTTCGTGGGAAAAGGTGAACATATGGATATAATACTTTTATGCAAATATTAATTATATATAGGATGAGATATTTATAGGGAGAAGACACTTTTCAACACAAGAGTGTATAAAACTATATGTAAAACTTGCTTGTGGTGACAAATTAAATACTTGTCTCAACAGAACATTGAATAAGTAATACGAGTATTTGTAGATTAAACTTGATTATCGTAGTAAATGATGGTTTGCATAATATCAAAGGGAAATGCTGAAAGATAATATCTTACATATCATATGATAAAAGAGTAAAGGGTCAGTTTGGTCCTCGAAGTTGCAAAAAAGGCGTCAAATAAGTCCTTATATAGAAGATTCTGTCTGGACGTGCCATTTGAGGTGGCTCCCGGTGGAATTTTGTGATAAATTTTTTTGAGCATCTTATTCATTAAGTCTAGTTTACTCATACCAAATTTCAGCTAAAAATTCAATCGGGAAGACATTCAAATGAATTCTTGAAGATAACAGCGCTTTTAACGGCACAGTTATCTTCAAGAATTCATTTGAATGTCTTCCCGATTGAATTTTAATCTGAAATTTAGTATGAGTAAACTAGACTTAATGAATAAAATGCTCAAAAAATTTCATCAAAAAATTCTACTGGGAGCCACCTCAAATGGCACGTCCGAACAGAATCTTCTATATAAGGACTTATTTGACACCTTTTTTGCAACTTCGAGGACCAAACTAACCCTTATCCCTATGATAAAATAAGAAAAACAAAATAAAGTATTTGAAAACAAATAATTGTCATATCATAATCTCTAATCAGCTCCACAATTTGCCTCGTCAAACTCTCCTTCATTATCAAAAGTATCATCCTCATCTTCACTGCCATCATCTATTGAAACCGGTACAAATGAGGGAAGAACAATACCAGGAACTTGATTGCATAATTTTTCCAAAGAGTTATGCCAAGACATCAAAGTACTATTGAAGTTACACTCAACTTTCTTCAATTTTCTTTGCATCATCTCCTCTGCCTCGATTCGAGCCATATGAGAAGCTTTTCGAGCTGCACGTTCACGTTCCAACTCATCTGACAATTGCCGGATTTTGGTAGAAGATTGACCAACTTCACGAAGACGGCCATCTCCCATACCACGAAGGCGACGTCCTGGTATTGTACCAAGAACAGATGTCATAATATTTAACCCAACATCTTCATCATCCACACGTATCTCTTCCAAAGGAGTGTCATCGGGGAGTTGTTGCTCTTTTGCCTTTCCCTTAAGGTAGTCATTACTTTTAGCAACCATTTCATCCTATAACAGTAAACAATAAGACTGATTGTAAGAGTAAAAATAGAAATTATATACTATAGATAACATATAACATCAAGACCTTTGTTTTACTATATAGATAGTATATTATATGTACACTACCGGCCAGTAGTAATCTCATTGTTTAAATGATGAACATATTTAATTTCAACATGACACCACCTTTAGAAATCATAATTGAATGAAGAAAAAGGGAACAAAGGTATACATTCAACAATGTCATAGTTTCATAAGATAAGATGCCATACAATTTATTTAACTCTTTCTTAAACGCGCCTTATGTCCTAAGATAAAATCATGAAAATTTCTCAAAAGAAATCTAAAAGTGTTTTGACAATCACATTAATCCCCTGGAATAGGAATCCCTAATGCTAGAATTCATTTTCACATTTATTATCATAAAGAAAGTTTTCTTAAATTATTATATGACAATCTGTGAATATCTTAAATTGTTATTCAACATAAAAACTAGGTTGTAAGGTATAGAAGAATCATACGACATAAATGAAATAAAAAGTGAAATTTAATCCTAAAAAATATATAACTCTTATATGGATTAAAATTAAAGGAAGAAAATGAGCAGTAAAAGTATTTTTTACATGTTGTGCTTTTGCAGTGCTATCAGGCCAGGAGTTGTCCTTTCCCCCATAAGTGTACTCGAAAGCATCAATTTCTGGAAACCATGAGCCATCCTGCTCAAAAAATCAAGTTATAATTATACAAATATTGGTTTAAGCGTTTTGTAAGTACAAGACAATAATTTACCGCAGCCATTTCCCCAACTATATATGAGAGAGGACGTGAACCGGTGCGATGATTATGCTGCTTTTTTGAACGATTTATTGTGTTAGATGATGAAGAATTCTGCAAAAGGTGCAATACAACAGTAGCACAAGTTAATACTAAATTATTTCTTCTTTTGAATGAAATTATTGTTTCTCTTAAACAATACTTAAACATGTGGTTTAAATTTTATCAAGTTTACTAGATATATTAAAATATCTTAGATAAGAAATTTAAAAACATAAATTTGTGGTCACGTAGATGTGTTTGATTAGGAAAGTACCTTGAACTTATCAGAGTTGAAATGGTTACATAAATCACGTCATTGGTCCACATCTCTATCATCCATCTCTTTAGGCATATTAGCCAATGCAAATGTATGCGTTTCACATGACTTATAATACGAACTCAGCTCGCCTTTAAACTCCCTATACCTCCCATTGAAGAGTCTTTCAATATATTCTTTCATTTCTGACTCTTCCAGATCAAGCTCATAATTAACCTAATAATAATACAGGTCAAACAATACAAAATTAAACAATTACTTGAATTTCTGTAATATTTCAAGAAGAATGATAAAATCATAAAACTACATCGCAGAAGAGTACTTGTATATTGTTGTGTCATATCAGGATAATATTTAGCTTGTAAATACTTACAGTGATCTCATCCATTAGGTCTGTCTTTTGAGTGAGAGGAATAGTTGACCAGTAGCCTGTATTCATTGGACAATGGGACCTAACGATGGCTCTGACATCATGAGCCAATAAACTGTGTACCTTAGGGTCTGTAGCTCTTCTAGTTACTCTATTGAGAGAAACTTGAATTTTCCGTTTCGTAGTTCGCACAATGTAAGATGTCTTAACTTGTTTACAAGGCCCTCGAGTATTCTTATCATCTTTGGTCCGTTGCAAGTCTCCAGAACATAAAACAAAAAAATTAAAAAGAATTATATTTAAAGTTACATATATTAGCTAATATATATATATATATATATATATATATATATATATATATATATATATATATATATATATATATACACTACCGCTCTCATGCTCTGTTTCATCATCTAGTTCATTTACATGATTTTCTTCCATCTCGTGCAAGCCATTCACTCCTAAAGGACCTGCCAATGTCATTTACAGAAAGAATACACACCTCATCATTCTTGCAAAACTTATTATTATTACCATTATTATTATGTTTGCAAGTAAAATTCATCTAATAACTATTTCTGTATTAAGAAAAGTAATATAATGAAGTATTCTTCGATGTTGGGTTGACATGTCAGATTTTCTAATTTATGGTCTATCTATATAATTACAATCGAGTTCTTCGTTAATAATCCCAATCACATTATTGTTTAGATAAATTGAATCATCACTAAATTTAATACTCACCTGATGATATGCTTTTTTCACGACTTTGATGACGACGTACAGCACTCATTGATTGTGAATGTGGATATTTTGGATTATCATTGTGAGGACTACATTGAGCCCTTACCTTAGATAAACATGTTGTAGCTTCAGAGATAGGAGCAGTAGTATCAGCTGATCAGATAACATATCAAGTAAACGTGATAGTTAATTATCATTAATTAAAAGAAAAGAAAGTATAAAATAAAAGATGTTATGGCTAACAAATAAACCCTACCTGATTCATTTCTATCACAGTTATGCTGATGATGCACAACGCTTGTAGGCTGTGAAAGTGGCTTATTTGGAATCTTACTGAAAGGATCCCATTGAGCACGTGAGGAAGGCGGATTAGTTGATATAGTTTCCCTATGTGTATTCTTAACTGTTGCAGCAGCTGATCGAGTAACAGTTCGTTGAGAAACATGAGATGCCTTTGGAGTTTGAGGAAAATGAGGCAAAGGAGCCATGCACCTGTTCACTTGTTTATTTCGATTCAAAGAAAGTGGGGCTATGAACTTATTAGTAGATATGGTGTTTGCCTTTGATGTTTGAGGAAATGAAGGTAAAGGGGTATCTGTTTGGCGAGGCATCTTTGTAGCTGGAGTAAGAAGTGCACCAGTACTGCGTGTTCTCTTCTTAAGCTGATTCATCTATCAAAAAAATAAGTAATTAGCACATATGTATATTAGTAAAATATATCAGTACATAATCATGAAATAAAGTACCTATAAGAAACAAGTGGTCTTAAAGTAATAATATAAATGTTTACATATCTAGCTGTCCCAGTCATTCATTCTTCATCAACTCAATCATCCTCATCATCGTTAAATTCTTCTTCTTCTTCTTCGTCTTCTTCCTCCTCCTCCTCCTCCTCCTCCTCCTCCTCCTCTCCTCCTCCTCCCTTTCTCCTTCCCTTTCTCCCTCCCCCTCCCAGTCCCCCTCCTCCTCCTTTTCTTCCTCTTCCTCCATTTGAATTCTTTATTGTTGATTGTTGAGTAATGATTTCCGGGTCAATCAAAATAGGAGGAACGTCTTATACGGTAAGAAGTGCTTGAATAACATCATAATTTCTATCACCATGCACATTAGGCATATCAGATGTATACTCTTGGTAAGCAACGTCATCGTATACATTATCCCCTTCTGCATCGATCTCCATCTGTGGTATATCGTATATATTTCGATGATCAACTTTATGAACTACTTTCCAACTACCACCTGCTTTGGGATCATCTACATAAAACACTTGTTTTGCCATTGTAGCAAGAATGTAAGGATCACTCTCATACCATTTTGTGCTGGTATTGACAGAAATCAAGTGGTAATCTCGCCTTAGAATATGGACAAATATATACATATGGTGATATACATATACTAAATCAAGAAGATGTGTCTTTTATTTAGCAACTATAAACAGGGTAGCCATCCATATGATTTCAATTAAACAAACAATTTGAAAGTCCATAAAAGAAACGATGAAAGATTAAGGGTCGCAGGCTAGGTATAATCGAGATTCTCACTTTACTTGTATAGCTGAAGGAATCAATCAATTGCTCTCAGAACTACCACCGTACTTCATCAATAGAAAACAATCCCAGGCGTCGACTTCATCAAGAACTACCGCCGTACTTCATCAATAGAAAACAAGCTTTTCAATTGAAATAATACGCGTACTTCAAACGAAACAGCGGCAAAAGAATTTAGGTTTTTAGCATAATTGGGTCATTTGGTGGAGAGCTATTAGCCAGGGTAGTGGGAGCGTAGTGGGATTTAGGTAAAAAGGTAGAGGGAAATTTTTAGTTTTGGAGCCAAAAATGATTAGTCCAGTCCACTTTGACATAGAGTAACGAAAAAAACACTAAATTAAAATATTTTATTGAGTTTGAAAGACCAAATATTTTATTGAGTTTGAAAGACCTTTAGGGGGTGTTTAGATCTGAATTTTAAAATTGTTTCTGCTCCTTGAGGGAGCAGAAGCATAAGTTGGAGTGTTTGGGTGAAAGTGCAGAAGTGATTCTGGTGCTTTAATTTACCCTGAGAATCAGTTGTTTAGAAACTGAGGGTGACCAACTTCTAAAAAGTGATTCTGATTCTGCTTCTACTTTAAAAAAAAAGAAGTAGAAGCAGAATCAGTTCCAAACACCCCCTTATCATGTCTGGATAGATATTATAAAATCTAGTCTGATTGTAATGTGAAATATTCTTTGTATACTGCTCCGTATTATTTTCCACTTCAACCTTTGAGCCCCTTTGGTGATTCTGTTTTTCGGTTTATCAGGTTATCAATCAATTTTTTCACTAAACATGTAACATTTGATTTTGCATGCTAAATTGTGTAATAATAAGAAAAAGTAAGTTAGAATTGTTTTTCTTGTTGTATTGGCTGAAGTTATTATAGGAGATCATTTTAGCTATTTTTTTCATATAATTTTTTCTTTATTTCATTAGTAAAAATTATTTTAAATATAATTTTCTCATAAATCAGCAGAATCAGTCATCTAATTACTTCACCGGATACTTCATAAATTTTAGCAGAATCAACTGATTCAGTCAATTTCAGTGTTACCAAATTGGTTTTTAATCTAGTTAATATATTTGGTTTGGTATGTTATATTTTATATTAGGTTTGTTTTCGTCTGACCTAATCTAATCTGTTTAAGTTCAATTTATTAGTCTCATTTGATATAGCCTGAGAATGAAATCAAAACCAAGTTTAATACAAAAAACTATATTTAAAACTTATTAATCCGTAATGTTCTAATATTATACCTTACACGTGCATTCCATAAAGTAATTTTTCCTTTTCAACAAGAGTAACTTTGCCTGCAAATATAGTTTTGTGTTTAAAGAATGTGTGGGGAAAGAACTATGACTAAGAAGTACTTTTTTGAAGAGATATGATGTCTTTCCCGACAAATAATTTTTGTGGGGAACAAAATTTGTAGGAAAAGAAAACACCCTACAAAATATTTCCTTTGTGGGCAAAGAAAGTCTTTGTCTATAAAATTAATTTTGTATGCATCAAAGTTGTAGGGAAAGGGTCAAAATGTAGTAGGTTGGTGATGCGGCAACATATAGGCCTGCATTTTTTTTATTTTAATTTTTTAATTATTTTTATAATTTTTTATTTATTTGATTCTTTATTTTTATTAAGTATATATAATTTTTATTTCAGGTTTTCTTTTACATTTTTATTATAAATAACGCTATGTTATTACTTTTATATTTTAATTATTAATGAAATATTAATTGTATTAAAACAAAGAAAGGGTATAATTGGAAAGCTAGTCATATATTTAGGGAATTTTAAGTTATGATTCTACTTTGATACGAAGTACTTAACATTTCATTTAGTCTTATTTGAAAAATTCCCTGTTCTTTATTAAATCCGAAAATAAAAATAGAAAGACATATTTTTCGGTTCCGAAAAATCTTCAATGTTCTTAGCTCTGTTTTGTTAGTTAGAGTTGACTTTTATGTCCAAATATTTTAACTAGAATATCAACGAAAAGCGTAAACCAAAATTTGCACACAAATAATAAGAATGGTTTGTAACTTAATACGTAGTAATAATCACTTTAAGTTAATTAGTACTAGCATTGAGTGGTATTTAGCAAATCCTAGGTCACAATTTAGTCTACTTGGACTCTTGTCGACCGTAATGGCATAATCGCCTCATAGTAGTAATTGGTTACGGGCATTATTATGGTCTTGTAGAAATAAAGCTTCAAACAAGAAATTTCAACCTCATTTATTAAACTTATTAAAATCATTACTTCTTCCGACCCAAAATAAACATGTATTTTTTTTCGGTCCGGCTCTTGAAATGTCTTTTTTCTTATTTGGTAAACAAAAAAATGCAAAATAGTGTCAAACAATGTTAAACAGTTTCCAAATAGTGTCATTTTTTAATTGTAAAAGTCAAACGAGACTTTTTCCATTGGGACGAAGGGAGTATATGTTTTACGGAGTATAAAATTTTAATCTGGGGTTCTAAGTTGATTCCTCAATGCAAAAATACTATTACGAATTTTCCCACGTCATGGTCTATGCGCAAATGAGAAAAAGAAAGCAGTGCCTTCTTACGTTAGTCACAAGTGCTAGTTATGAGCTTCAATTTGGTACAATTTAGTTCATTACTCCGTATAAACAGGGGCGGACCGTAGTACAGACCCAGGGGGGCGGTCGCCCCCCAACAACAAATGTTTTTGGTGTATATATATAATAAAAAATAATTTTCGCCCTCCCAAAAAATATTTTGTTTAAGTTAGCGCCCTCCCAAGACAAACTTTCTGGGTCCGCCCCTGCGTATAAATAATGCAAATCATACTTACAGCTAATGAGTATATTATTAAAGGGAGAATGACATTTTAAAATAAACAATGTGTGCAAGATGGTTAACCTTCTTCTATATATATATCTAGTTACATGCATCATAAATTCATATATATGCCAGTATGCTCCTACTATATATCTATGAAAATTAGTTGAGCGGGATAACATAGCAAATAGCAATGGTTGCATAATGAAATAATACACGTGTAAGAGAAAAGGTGAGGGGTAATACTGTCATTGCATAGCTATCAAATTAGATATGGTCATCTAAAACCTTCAAAATATTATCGAAATTAAACAAAACATTTTTTACAGAAATTTGACTAAAATTACAATAAGTGTACTATCGTGGTTACTTAAACATTAAAACTGAACACATATTACAATGATTAAAGTTAGGGTTAAACGACTATATAGCTTAAATAAATATGAGCGGACAAATTAATAACCTAGATTATTGTTTTATTTTTAAGTGTGTAGCACTTTCACTTCAAAAACAAAAACTATGTGGCACTTTCATAAGTATTATGTGACTGCGTAATTATAGTTAGCATACATAACCATGTGTTCTTATCCTTTTAAATAAGTTAGTTAGGCTATTTGTTTTATTTATACAAATATATGACATAAATTTAACTACATTTATTTAAAGTTGTATATACACCGAAATATTCCTTAAAGTTAATATTACAGACACTACACATAAAATGTCAAATTTTTATAAACAATTTTTATTTATGTCATAAACAATTAATTAAAACGGGTAAAGTGTGTTAAGATTTGAATAATCAATTTATTCAAATACAAAATATAAGTATAAAGTGTGGGCCTGAATAGAAATAAGAAGTTTATTGGAATCATGCATAAACAAATACTTCGTACGTAGTAATTATGAGTCTAAGAAAAGCTTTTTCATTTTCAGTCTAGCTAGGGCGCTCGCTCACGTTGCATCCCTTGGAATTTTAAGGGGTGTTTAGGATTTGATTCTTTCAAATGCTTCTGCTTCTTCAGAGAGGAGAAGCAGAAGCTGAAGTGTTTGGGTGAAAGTGCAGAAGTGATTCTGGTGCTCTAATTTACTCCTAGAATTAGTTTTTTAGAAGTTAGGGGTGACCAGCTTCTGAAAACTGATTCTGATTCTGCTTCTACATTAAAAAAGAAGCAGAATCAGAGTCAGTTCCACACACCACCTTAAAGGGATTGAAATTTTATGGCCTGATCTCGACTGGTCTATTTGGTCTATTTTGATAAGAATTGGTCTAACCTGATCCGGTAAATATGTATTCTATATGTATTTTACAATTGTCGAAGTCCACTCTGATCTGGTATAGTCTGAAGTCTGAATTGATGTGAATTGGTCGTATTTGAGACTGAAAGCACTCGAATTAAAAGTAGGGCCATCTTTGGCCAGTTGTAGACATTCTTAAAAGTGACTAGTATTAAATTTAGGCAAATTTTGTGCTACTCTTAACGTAACATATCTTGCCTACTTACGTGGGTCAATTAAATTATAATTGAATCATTTAAATATTAATAAAGGGATAAGGGTCAGATAAGACCTCAAACTTGGAAAAAAATGTCAAATAAGGCCACATTTAGGATGCTATGTCCGGCTGACGCCATTTGCATTGGGGCGGTTCCCGGTAGAATTTTTTTGATGAAATGTTTTGAGAATCTTATTAATTAAGTCTAGTTTACTCATATCAAATTTGAACTAACAATTCAATCGGGAAGGCATTCAAATGAATTCTTGAAGATAACTGCGCTTTTAACTGCACAATTATCTTCAAGAATTCATTTGAATGCCTTCTCGATTGAAGTTTTAGTTCAAATTTGATATGAGTAAACTAAACTTAATGAATAAAATTCTCAAAAAAATTCATCAAAAAATTCCACCGGGAACCGCCCCAAATGGCGTCGGCCGGACAGAGCATCCTAAATATGACCTTATTTGACATTTTTTTCAAGTTCGAGGCTCTATCTGACCCGTATCCCATTAATAAATGATGGGAGAATGACTTAAACCGTTCAAGTGTATCATAAGTAAGATACCTTCATTTATTTGTGAAGTACGGTAACACTAGCTCATCTTAAATTTAAAGAGCTTGTAATATAAAATCAAAAGCACCAAATATTATGATACTTGGGATTGGGATGGATATATGAGGCTAACTGTTTGAATTGCTGACATCCTATTCGACCCGAAAACATAACTTTATTCGTGCCCAGTTAAGTAATTGTTGTTTTTTCACTCAAAGACATTGTTGTCCTAAGCTTGAAAAATCCTGAAAAAGGAAAATGCAATGATACACGAATACACGATGGGGGTTTTCGGCATTAGTTCTATTGTCGTTGTGACATTGACAATGTTTTTATTTATTTTAATAAATTCAGTTAAAATACGGGGTTCTATCCTAAAAGGTCAATCTGATAGGGGGAGTAGCTCAAATCTTAATATAATGT